CTCATCATCCACCTCAAGCGCTTTCGCCAGGTGGCTGAGCACCGGCACAAGCTCACCACGCTGGTGAGGTTCCCCCTGCGGGGTCTCGACATGGCCCCTCACGTGGCGCAGCGGGGCCAGGCTGGTGGGCAGCTGTTGGGGCGCTGGGCCTGGCAGGGCCCCCCCCGCCTGCCCCCAGGCTGCCCCCGTGACTCCCTCTACGACCTGTACGCGGTCTGCAACCACCACGGCAGCTTGCAGGGCGGGCACTACACCGGTGAGCGGCATGGGGGGAGCGGGGTGCAGAACCTGGGTGAGGGGGCTGCGGGGGGGTGTCATGGGACAAGGTGTGAGGCTTGGGGGCATGGCAGAGGGGTATGTGTGCGGTATGGCATGGGGTTGGGAGGCAAGCCATGCCATGCCATGGAGCAAGGTGTAGGGACTTGGGGGCACTGCAGGGGGATATGCCATGGGGTACTGCATGAGCCTGGGGGAGACTGGAGAGGGGTGTGCCATGGGCCATGGCACAGGCTTGGGGGGGGCACTGCAGGGGGTTGCCATGGCAAGCTGGGGCACGGGGCACACGTACAATGGCCTTTCAACCACACCAGGGCACGCGTGGCACTGGGACGTGCTCCTTCACAACAGCGTTCTGCATCCCCAGGCTGTCCCCATGTTGGGGCTTGTACTCCCCACTGCACCCTGGGACTGGGGGCAGACGAGGGCCATGACACCCCTCACCCCTGTGTCCCCTCCTTACCTCTCGTCCCCAGCCTACTGCTGCAACGCCCTGGATGGGCAGTGGTACAGCTACGATGACAGCAGGGTGGAGGGGGTGCCGGAGGCCGAGGTGAGCACCCGCAGCGCCTATATTCTCTTCTACCAGCGCCGCAAGGCTGTGCCCATATGGTCTGCTGGCAGCTCCATCAGGGGTGAGCACTCCAACCTCCCTGCCACTGCCCCCGGCACGCATGGCACATCAGAGTGCGCATACATGCACGTAGAATGCAGCACATGTGTGTGCAACAGAGCCAAATGTGTGTGCATTCTGCACAGCTGCATGCACAGGGCCATGCACACACAGCCATGCATGGACGGCACAGCAGCACATGCAGCGTGTAGCCAGGTGTACGTGCATACCTGCATGTAGTGTTGTGCACACCCAGCCCACCCATGTGTGCGCACTGTCACATGTGTGTAAGCAGATACACATGCACAGATTCCTGCAGCCCAGCGCACACATGCTCACGGGTGTGCGGGTTGGGGACATGCAGGCGTGCAGCATGGCTGGCGTGTGCAGCATTGCTGGTGCACACCCCTCCACCCCTGTGTGCTTCAGACTGCAGCCACACTCACCGTGCGCTTGTGCACACACAGATGTGCATACGTGACCATGCACTTGTGCACACACAGATGTGTATGTGTGCCCACAGATGTGCATGTGCGCTCACACAGACGTGCACATGCATGCACAGCTGGGCTCAGCCCTGTGCTCCCCCACTGCTGAGCACCCCTGGGGGCTGCAGCATCGGCCACCCGGGATGGGAGCCCAGCAGAGCCCTGCAGCCCAGCCCAGTTCCCGCTCCCCACAGGCTCCCCGCTGGCAGAGCACTGGCTGTCCCGCCTGGGCAGCGACACGGGGGACACTGCAGCTGCCCGGCCCTCCCTGCCGGGCACCCACCACGCCACTGCCGCCCAGGAGAGAGGTGATGCTGAGCACCCCTTCCCCAGCCCAGCACCCCAGGGGGCTCCCGCATCCTCCTGCTTCACTCGCGTCTGTCACTGCAGGTGGCTTCGAGGCCAGGCCCTTTGTGCGGGGCGTCCAGCGCCGCAGCCCCAGCGCCCAGCTCTCTGCCACGGGTGGCCGGTCCCTCGCGTGCCAGGAGCGGGGCCCGGGGGAGCTCGTGGCCTACCTGGAGTCGGGGCGCCGGCCCCGCTGCACGCAGCGCTCGCTGCTCCCGCTCGGCACGGGGGGCACCCACCCGGCACAGCCCGGCACCCCCCGAGCCCCCCGCCAGCCCCTGCGCGTGCCCGCGCTGCGGAGAGCGGCCAGCGCCGGTCCCGAGGGGTCCCTGCGTGTGCCCCCCAGAAGCCAGGGCAGGAGGGGCGCGGGGGGGCTGCCGCGGGCAGGGGGGGATTCGGGTGCCCCCCCCGCGCAGCCGGCCCCCAGCCTGGCGGCCTTGGTGCACTCGCGGAGCTTGGCCAGCCTGACCCTGCACCGCGACGGGGGCCTGCGGCGCTCGGCCTCCCTGGGCAGGGGCACGGGGGGGCCGCCCCTGCCTGCCTGGGGTCCCCCTGCGTCCACGCTGCGGCGGGGACGGCGGCTCACAGGCTCCCTGCAGCGCCCGGCCGTGCCCGAGTCCAGCTTCTGAGCCGTGGCCGGTGGGCATCGCCCTGGGGGCCCTGCCGTGGGGGCTCCCAAGCTGGGGGTGTGTCTGAGCCAGGGGATCCCAAACAAGGGGCGTGCTGAGCCAGGAACATCCCAACCTGGGGGCATCCCAGCCCAGACAGTCAGATATCCCTAAGATGGATCATCCCAAACCATGGGAGGGCCTCCCAGACAGGGAGCATCCCAAACCTGCCAAATGAAGGCATCCTGATTTGGGGCTCCCAAACCAGGGACATCCTGAACCAAGGGCATCCTGAGCTGGAGGCTCCCAACCCAGGGGCTACTGACCTTGGGGGAATTCCAAACCAGGGTATCCCAGCCCAGTGGTTCCCCAACAGGGGCCGTCCCGAACTGGAAGCTCCCGAACGGGAATCCTGACCTGGGGGCTCCCAAATGGTGGCATGCTGACTCAGGGCAGCCCGACCCAGGGGCATTCCAAACTGGGGCGTCCCCAGCTGCGTGTTCCTGACCTGGGGACATCCCAATCTGGTGGCTCTGAAACCAGGGGCATCCCAAGCCAGGAGTATCCTGAGCTAGGAGCACCACTCGCCCACCTGCCCATGCCCCTTCCCATGGAGCAGGCGGGCAGGGGCTCCCCAGCCCTGCCAGCTCTAAGGCACAAGAGTATTTATTGTAGTGGGAGAGTTTTATTCAGGTGCTTTTTGTTTTCCAAAAGGCAGCTGCTGGGGGGCTGGGGGTCCCCACACCACACTCTATGCAACCCACGATTCCTCCAGCCAGCTTTTGTACACAGGGGCTGCTGCCCACAGCACACCATTTCTATTAAAGACACTGAAAGGAGCCCAGTGTGGTGTCTGGGGACGGTGTCCAGGGGTGGGAAGGGCTTTGTGTCCCATACAGAGGTGGTCCTGGGGCTGTGGTGCCCCAGGGTGGTGGGCATCACCCTGGGCGTGGGGCTTGGCAGGGTCGCTGCTGGCCAGAGCCTGCCTTGGCACAGCCGTGTGTGGGCTGGGAGGTGGCAGCGCCAAGAGCACCAGTCGTGGTGCCCTGTGGCCATGCCTGGCAAGGCAGAGGAAGGCAATGTCTGGAGAAACTGTGGCAGGCAGGGATGGAGATGGAGGAAGTGAGAGCAGGCTGGAGAGAAAGGTGGAGGCAGCTGGAGGAGGTGGAGGTACATGGGAGAGGAAGGGGGCTACAGGAGGTAGACCTGAAGGTGGGATCAGGGTGCAGGAGACAAAGAGGGGTGTGGAGGAGGTCAGACTGGGGTGGAGATGGAGGAGGTGAAGGTGGAAGTGGAGGACATAGGTGTGGATGAGGTGGGATGGAGATGGAGGAGACAGGGACAGAGATGAAGAGATGGAGGTGGAAGTAGAGATGGAAGTAGGACTGGGATGAGGTGGAAGAGGAGGAAGAGATGAAGGTGAAGGAGACCATCCCTTACTGGAGGCTTGCTTCAGTCTAAGGCCCTTGCTCTGCCACTGCTGTGCCCTGGCTGTTAACCCTGCTTTGTGTCAGCGAACAAATGTGGGGTTGTCCCCCATGTGCCACCCTGGTAAGCAGCAGCCCTGGGCATGGCAGGTTCCTCAAGGCACCCAAGGGCTGCTGGCAGTGGCATGGGCAGGACACCCACATGCACCCCACAACAGCAGCTGGGAGGGGGTGGAAGCCCCAGTGCAAGTGGTCATCCCTGTGCTACGCCTTGAGGACCTTGTGCCACACTGCCCAGCTCCATGGGTGGCATCCCCACAGACAGCCCCCACCATCCCATGGGGAATGGGGTAAAAGATGTGGCTTGGCCAGGCTGGAGACCTGCTCCAGTGATGCACCTAAGTGTGGGCAGAGCACTATCCCTTCCCTGGCACCCATGTCTGCCTGCAGGCAGCAGCATCTGGAGTATCCACTCCCTGTGATCCATGGACATGCCCCTTCATACCCTGGAAAGTGGGGTCCCAGCCCTCACCCCATCCCACCAGGCTGGGGTAGGCCTTGGTGCTAGACAAGGTCATCGCTGCCTACCCTCCACCATGGTGCTCCTCTCCACACGTGCTGCTCAGCCCCAAAACACAGGCAGGACCTGCCACAATAGGGTGGGTGGGTGCCTGTTGGGCACCTACCCCAGGACTGGAACCACCCCAAGCCTGATGCCCCACCCCATTGGATCAGGACCATGACAGCCCACACAAAGCACAAACCCACAGTTCTATCACTCCAGCCCTCATTAAAACTCATTTCCTGCAGCAAAACACCTTCCAAGAGCTAGGGGGACCAGCCCAAAATCCAGGCTGGGACACTTCAGGTCCAATGAGGCCCCATCCCATGGGACCAGGACCATGACAGCCCATACAAAGCAGAATCCCCATCATTTTATCACCCCAGCCCTCATTAAACCCAGTTTCCTACAGCACCTTCCAAGAGCCTATGTCCTAAATCCAACAGTGGGCACCAAGCCAGGCTGGGACCACCCCAAATCTAGGCTGGGGCCAGCTCAAATCCATCCTAGGAGGATCCCACAGCTGGTGCTGCCCCATCCCCTGGGACCAGGACCACAACATCCTGCACTGACCCTACTGTTTCCTGCGTCCCAACCCTCCTGCATCCCCACATCCTCCCACTAAGCCCCCCAGTGCCTCAGCTGCCATGGTGCCGATGGGCATTAAGCAAACGCCAGTGCTGCCGGGCAGTTCCCAGCGAGTGGCACATGGATTTATTGATTACTTTTGGGGTGCTGGTGCCCCCAGGGGCCCACCTGGGGCAAGGGGCATGGTGCGAGCGGGGCGGGGGGTGAAGCACGGCCATTTCCATCCTCCTGCTGGGCACTGGGTGGGCGAGAACGGCTCCAAATAAAACAAATCTCTATATTTTTTCTCTCTATAGATACAAATATATAGTATATGTATCTCTGCCGATATATATATATATCTCTTATCTCTCTGGGAAGGATAAAAGGTTAATTTGTCTTTGCATGCACAACCAAAGCCACCAACCCACAGGGACAATGGGTGCCAAGGGACACGTGCCCTTCCCCGCTGGCACCCCAAAAGCCTGAGGGGGGCACATCCTGTTATTGCTGATCAGGTCCCGTCCTGCTCCGGCAAACAAGCGGAGGGGGCAGAAGCTGAAGAAATGAAATCCTGCTGCAAAGCACCATCGAGCTCATTGTCACCTGGCTGGTACCCAGCGGCACCCACCATCAGGGCACGGAGGAGGTGGTGGCATCACCCCAGGACCATGGGTGCTGCGGGGCAAGGGGGGGAGGGGCAGGCACCCTGCTGAAAGGCAAAGTCTGGATAAGGCAAAAAGAAACTGAACTCAAAACCAGCGACTGCCCCCAAACTGGGCACTTTGCCACACAAAACTGCCGTGCCAGTGACCCCTGGTGCCGACGGCCGGTGCTGGCCCCTGGGTGATGCAAGGATGAGCTTGGGGACAGGGACACTGTCATAGGGCTGTGCTCTCCGATTCCTCCTCCTCCTCCGGCCGGGCAGCCGGGCCTGGCCCCGAGAGTCTCTGCGGTGCCTCCGGCGGGTCCCGGCACAGGGCGGCATCTGGGGGGACGTGGAGGGAAGGGACCTCAAAACGGAGCAGACCTGCAGGAGGGCAGAGTGATGGGGGACACCACAGCGGGAGCTTGGCGGTAGGACACCCTGCCAAGGGCTGGTGCCATGGTAGTGCCACCACCAGGGATGTCACCACTTGTCCCTGCTCTGTGCTACCCCACCCGAGCCGGAGCCTGTGACACCAGCACACGGCCTGTCCCCCACGACGCTCTGGTTCCCTCCCACCAAGCACAGGTGGTGCTGCTGTCCCTTCTCCCAAGGGACCTGCAGAGTGAAACAGTGACACAGGGTGACCTACAGCCCGAGGCTGGTGGTGTCACCACCGTCCCTTGTTGAGAGCCCAGCAAGAACACCTGAGGAAAAGCACCCCTGCCTGTGCCTGCCAGGCCCTGCGGCCAGCTCAGGCACTCCGCAATGGGCAGCAGCTCCTCAGGGCACCCAGCAAAGAGCTGCACCCATGCTGGGGTGCAATGCCAGGGTGCACCGATGCCAGGGTGCAATGCTGTGGTGCAATGCTGGGGTACACCAGTGCTAGGCAGTGATGCCTGGGTGTGATGTCCAGGCTGCACCAGTGCCAGGGGGCAATGCCAGGGTGCTGTGCCAGGGCTACAACGACTGGGATGCAAGACCGGGACTGCACATGATGCTGGATGCGATGCCAGAGCTGCTCTGATGCCAGAGCCGCCACTGAAGGTGAGCAGCAGCCAAGGGAGTGCCAGCCCCAGTTCAGTGGATGCCAGGGTCCTGCTGTGCCCACACTGTGCCATCCCGCTCCAGGCAGGCTGGGCACACGGCAGAGCAGAGCACCAATGGTCAGCATGGGCAGAGCTGGGAGCTCCCAGCTGTGCCTGGCCCCACGCTACCCCAGCCTGTGTCCCTCGTGTCCCTGATGCCACCAAAGCATCGCCCTGTTCATCCCCCTCAAAGGATGCAGCCCCCACTGCTGTAGGAACACCGGGGTGGTGGGACACATGGAGACACGAACACCACCTAAGGACAGGGACAGCACAGCAGGAAAAGCGGCGGCACAGGCTCGTGGTGCTTCACAGAGATAATGCCACCTTCCGAGGGTCATCAACACCTTCCGTAGGGTGCCTACACTTTCCAAGTGACAGTCCCACCTTTCCAAGGACATTGTCACTTTCCTGGGGACACTGCAGCCTTTCTGGACACATCTGCACCTTTCTCAGGGGGACATCTCCATCTTCCTCAGGATGCCGCCTTCACGCAGACATCATCACCTTCCTGGTGACAGTTCCACCTTCCCAGGGAGACAGCTACATTTCCAGGGACACTGACACCTTCCTGAGTACATCATTACCCTCCCAGGGTCATCACCACCATCTCAGGGATATCACAACTTTCCCGGGAACAGTTCCTCCTTTCCAGGGAGGATGCCTCCTTCTTGGGGACATCACCACCTTCCTGAGCGCATCACCACCTTCCTGGGGACATCACCCCCTTCCTGAGCACATCACCACCTTCCAGGGAACATCGCCACCTTCCTGAGCACATCACCCCCTTCCTGGGGACATCACCACCTTCCTGGGAACATCACCACCTTCCTGGGGACATCACCCCCTTCCTGAGCACATCACCACCTTCCTGGGGACATCACCACCTTCCTGGGGACATCACCACCTTCCTGAGCACATCACCACCTTCCTGAGCACATCACCACCTTCCTGGGGACATCACCACCTTCCTGAGCACATCACCACCTTCCTGAGCACATCACCACCGTCCTGGGGACATCACCACCTTCCTGAGCACATCACTCCCTTCCTGGAGACATCACCACCTTCCTGGGGACATCACCACCTTCCTGAGCACATCACCACCTTCCTGGGGACATCACCACCTTCCTGGGGACATCACCACCTTCCTGAGCACATCACTCCCTTCCTGGGGACATCACCACCTTCCTGGGGACATCACCACCTTCCTGAGCACATCACCACCTTCCTGGGGACATCACCCCCTTCCTGGGGACATCACCCCCTTCCTGAGCACATCACCACCTTCCTGGGGACATCACCACCTTCCTGAGCACATCACCACCTTCCTGAGCACATCACCACCTTCCTGAGCACATCACCACCTTCCTGAGCACATCACCCCCTTCCTGAGCACATCACCACCTTCCTGGGGACATCACCACCTTCCTGAGCACATCACCACCTTCCTGGGGACATCACCACCTTCCTGAGCACATCACCCCCTTCCTGAGCACATCACCACCTTCCTGAGCACATCACCACCTTCCTGAGCACATCACCACCTTCCTGAGCACATTCCTGAGCACATCACCACCTTCCTGGGGACATCACCACCTTCCTGGGGACATCACCACCTTCCTGGGGACATCACCACCTTCCTGGGGACATCACCACCTTCCTGGGGACATCACCACCTTCCTGGGGACATCACCACCTTCCTGGGGACATCACCACCTTCCTGAGCACATCACCACCTTCCTGAGCACATCACCACCTTCCTGGGGACATCACCACCTTCCTGGGGACATCACCACCTTCCTGGGGACATCACCCCCTTCCTGAGCACATCACCACCTTCCTGGGGACATCACCACCTTCCTGAGCACATCACCACCTTCCTGAGCGCATCAGCACCTTCCTGAGCACATCACCACCTTCCTGAGCACATCACCACCTTCCTGAGCACATCACCACCTTCCTGAGCACATCACCACCTTCCTGGGGACATCACCACCTTCCTGGGGACATCACCACCTTCCTGGGGACATCACCACCTTCTTGAGCACATCACCACCTTCCTGAGCACATCACCCCCTTCCTGAGCACATCACCACCTTCCTGGGGACATCACCACCTTCCTGAGCACATCACCCCCTTCCTGAGCACATCACCACCTTCCTGGGGACATCACCACCTTCCTGGGGACATCACCACCTTCCTGGGGACATCACCACCTTCCTGAGCACATCACCACCTTCCTGGGGACATCACCACCTTCCTGAGCACATCACCACCTTCCTGAGCACATCACCACCTTCCTGGGGACATCACCACCTTCCTGAGCACATCACCACCTTCCTGGGGACATCACCACCTTCCTGAGCACATCACCACCTTCCTGGCACATCACCACCTTCCTGGGGACATCACCCCCTTCCTGAGCACATCACCACCTTCCTGAGCACATCACCACCTTCCTGAGCACATCACCACCTTCCTGAGCACATCACCACCTTCCTGAGCACATCACCCCCTTCCTGGGGACATCACCACCTTCCTGAGCACATCACCACCTTCCTGGGGACATCACCACCTTCCTGAGCACATCACCACCTTCCTGGGGACATCACCACCTTCCTGAGCACATCACCACCTTCCTGACATCACCACCTTCCTGACACATCACCACCTTCACCACCTTCTTGAGCACATCACCACCTTCCTGAGCACATCACCACCTTCCTGGGCACATCACCACCTTCCTGGGCACATCACCACCTTCCTGAGCACATCACCACCTTCCTGAGCACATCACCACCTTCCTGAGCACATCACCACCTTCCTGAGCACATCACCACCTTCCTGGGGACATCACCACCTTCCTGAGCACATCACCACCTTCCTGAGCACATCACCACCTTCCTGGGGACATCACCACCTTCCTGGGGACATCACCACCTTCCTGAGCACATCACCACCTTCCTGGGGACATCACCACCTTCCTGAGCACATCACCACCTTCCTGAGCACATCACCACCTTCCTGGGGACATCACCACCTTCCTGGGGACATCACCACCTTCCTGGGGACATCACCACCTTCCTGAGCAGATCACCACCTTCCTGAGCACATCACCACCTTCCTGAGCACATCACCACCTTCCTGAGCACATCACCCCCTTCCTGAGCACATCACCCCCTTCCTGGGAACATCACCACCTTCCTGAGCACATCACCCCCTTCCTGAGCACATCACCGCCTTCCTGGGGACATCACCACCTTCCTGAGCAGATCACCACCTTCCTGAGCACATCACCCCCTTCCTGAGCACATCACCACCCTCCTGGGGACCTCATCGCTTCCAGAGGGTGCTGTCACTTCCCCAGTGACAGTCCCACTTCTCCACGGGCACCGCCACCTTCCTGAGCCCGCTGCCACCTTTCCAGGGGCATCCCCCCCTCCCCGGGGCCACCAGCAGCCGCCCCCCTGGGGGTTACCTCACCACCTTCCTGGGCCCGCGGTTCCTGAGCACACGGGGGCCGCGGGGGGCTGCGGCGGCGGGGGCAGGGCGGGCCGCGGCCGCGGCTTCGGGGTGGGCCGGGACCGGGCGGCGGCGGCGGCGGGGGGGGGGGGGGGGGCAGGAGCGGGGCGGGCGGCGGGCAGGGCCCGGGGGGCGCGGCGGGGCCGAACGCGGCGGGGGTGCTGGGGGGGGTGGGGGAGAGGCTGCCGGGGGACGGCTGCCCCCCCCCCGGCTCCCCCGCGGCCGCCCGCGGCGGGATGGGCGCCAGCTTCTTGGCCACTGCGAGAAGAGACAAGGGGGGGTCAGGGTGCCGCGGGTCACACCGAGCGCGGGGACCCCTCCCGGATCCCCCCCCCCGGCCCGCTCCTACCTTTGCGCGGGGCGAGCGGGCTCTGCTCGGCCGGGACCGGCCCGGGGCTGCCGTGGAGCTGCCCGGCCCCGGGGGGGAGCTCCGGGGGTCCGAGAGTGCTGGGGCGGGGAAGGTAAAAAAAGGGGAAAAGGGGAAGGGAAAAGGAGGGTGAGGAGGAGACGGGGAAGGTGGGGAGGGGAAGGGCAAGGGGGATGGAGAGCAAGGGCAGGAGTAAGGGGAAGGGGAAAGGAAAAGGGAAGGTGATGGAAGGGAAAATAATCAAAAAAAGAAAAAATAAATTAATAAAAATCAAAATAAATTCAAAATAGGAAATTAAAAAGAAATTAAAATCATCATGCAAAATAAAAATAAAAAAAAATCAAAGAATGTAAAACCAAAATGGAACAAAATAAAGAAAACAATAAAATACAAAGTAAACGAATACAAAAAAAATCAAAAAGGAAAACTTGCAAGAAAAAATAAATAAAAAACCACAGTTTTTTAAAAATTAATAGCAATAAGAAATGAAAAGGGACATGACCCCCCCGCAGGCAGCGGCAGGAGCCTCGCTCCAGCCCAGCGGGTGTTTCTCAGCCCCCAGCCCACCTGCAGCGCCCACCAGCCCCCGGTCTGCGGTTCCCCGTTTCCTGTGGCTCCCGGGGGAGCAGCAGCACTGTGCAGGGGGGGCTCAGGGAAAGCCCTCTGGGGGCAGTGAGGGAGCGAGGCTGACACCAGGGTGAGGGGAGAGCAGCAAGGGGAAGGCTGGGTGGGGGGAGGCTCTGGCTGCAGCCCAGCCGGGGGGGCTGTGCCCAGGCATGGGGCCGGGGAGCCACTGGTGCGTGGGGCAGGGGCGGGGATGATGCCAGGTTCCCCAGCCCTGCTGCAGAATGGCCAGAAACACCCTAAAAAGAGGCAGAAAAAATCCCCCAGAAAATAAGGGAAAAAGTAATGAAAGAACAGAAGCCCTGGGAGGGGAGGAGGGGAGGGCAGGGGATTGCTCCGGTGAAGGTCTCGGGGTGGGGCAGGAGCCCCTCACCTCATCCCAGCACCCCACAGCATGACCCATGCAGCGCTGCCACCCACACCCATGGGTGCGCCCCGGAGCACAGCACGTCTCACAGATGGCTGCAGAGCCCAGCCCACCATTCTGGGGCAGAAATTTGGAATTCGGGTACTTTCTCCACCTGACCTCTCAAGTCAGGCACAGACCTTGGGCAGAGGAAGGGCTCAGGGGACACTGGGCTCCTTTAGGCTTTTCCTTGCATCTCCTTCCATCACCAGCACAAAATTCATTCCAGCTGTGAGCCAGGCTGGGGACCCACAGGAAAATCCACCATTCCCACGAGGCCAGCAGGATGGGGATGTTGCGATGGCTGCAGGGATGCTGAGCATCCTCCCACTGCCCCAGGATACTGCTCCTCTCCCGGGGATGCTGAGCATCCTCTCCCACTGCCTCCAGCATGGCCATGGGGCTGGTTTGCTGCTGCACACATTGGGAGGGATGCCCGGGTCAGGGACCCAGGGGTGCCGGTGGCCTTACCTTGTCCGCTCAGCTCCCGGGGGGAAGCCAAAGCTGGTGGGAGGCGGGGAAGGGGTAGCGGATGTGTCCAGCGCTTGCTCGGGAATGGGTGAGTGGGGCGCGGGGGGCAGCTCTGAGGGCGGTGCAGGCGGCTGCATGGCTGGCGGGGTGGAGGCTGTCTTGCGTGCCGCAGACGTGCCTCGGCGAGCCACCCACGAGGTGTCCATCACCCTGACGCCCATGCTGTGGGGACACAGAGACAGGCTCTCAGCACCCACCCTCCAGCTCCCTAAAGATGCCTCTTCTACTGGGAAGTTGCTGGGAATGAACCTCCATGGCAATAGGGCAGGGGTGGCAGTGGGATTCACCCCCTATCCCTCCCCCAGGTACCAGCATTCTCTCAGCAACCACCCCGCATCCTCCCAGCACCTTCCCAGCACTGCTGCAGAGGATACAGTACCTTTGGATTTTCCTAAGGCTGCATAGACAGAAATACAAGATTGTTAGTTTAAAATGACAATGCCACCCCTCCCTCTTCCCAAACCCAGCACCACAAAGACCCTACCCATCCTTCTTGTAAAACTCCAGCATCATGTTGTCTGTAGCCACGCTAAGGGGCCGTCGTGCCTGGTCATGCTGCCGGCGGTCTGCGTGGTCCATGTCTGGGGAGGGCATGGAGCTGTAGTTGGCATTGTGGTTGATGTGCATGGGACTGCCGTAGTTGCCAGTCACATTGAACTCAATGTCTGAAGGAGAGAAAGGAGAAGAGGGGACATCGGGACCTGTGTCCTCAGGGAGGGGTGGAGGTAGGGGATCAGCACAGCAAGAATGCTCAGGCGGGCATGGAGCAGCTGGGTTGGGCTCACTGGTGTGATGAGTCTTGCCAGATCTCTGCCAGAGCCTCCCCCCTCCCCAAACCAAAGCAGGCAGAGGGGGCTGGCAAAAATCAATGTGGGAACTCGGCACTCACTCCCAGGGAGGGCTGTGGTGTCCCACAAAGCCCATCCCACCCCGCCACGACCATTGCACACAGCCTACCTCCAGGGAAGAACCAGTCAGCATGCTGGATGAGTGGCTCAATGATCCCCACAATCTGCAGTGAGACGGTTGTCATCATCTCTGTCATGTTCCTGCAGGGCAGCAGGGATGGGCTCAGCACCCCACTGCAGTCCAGCCTTATTCCCGGCAGGATTTTGGCCCCAGGCCCCCCCACACCATTTCCCCAGCATCCCTCTGGCATGCTCACTTTCCACCCGGACACCTTACCCGTCCGCCTGCGGCCACAGAAGGTTGGGCCCCAGCACGATGGCCACATTGCTCGGTGTCATTTTATTCATGTCCTGGTACTCGGTCAGCTTGGCCAGGAATTTAATCACGTACCTGGAAATCAGAGCCCAGCCATGCCGGTGTATCAGAGCCACATCTCCACCATGGCCTCCCCGGGCCCTGCTGGCCCCAGGCTCACCTGATGTTGTTGTAGTTGGGTTTGGGCAGCTTCTCGCAGGTGTTCCAGAGAGCCTGCAGCCGCTTCTCCTGCTCCGGGATGCTGCAGGGAGGTGGGTGAGAAGTTTCTCTCTCATCCCTGTGCCTGACATCCCACTACAGCAAACATCTGCCTCGGTGGAGGAGGCATGATGGTGCCACCTCAGCTGGCCCAGTCCTTGATGGGTTTGGTGGTTCCACGGTGCGGAGCACACCAACAATACAGGTGGGAGTTCCCTTGGCCAGTGGTCCCCCAGGGTCTGCACACTCATCCAGACAGCACCAGTGCCTGGCACTCAAGGGCTTGCTGAAAGATGCTGTGAAAGCTCAACCACCTCGGTCAGTGTGCTCTGGGCCATGCTGGGGACATCAGGGGACATCATGGCCACCCTCATTGCTGGGACCCACTGTGCTCAAGGATCATTGTGAGAACCCTCCTGGCTCTCAGACCCTGGAGGATACATCCCAAATGCTGTCAGCCAAGTCAGAAATAACTCATGGTCCCCAACCATTCACAGGGACCAAAGATGCCACCACCTGTGTCACAGAGAAACAGGGGGATACCCCAGACTCACTTGGAGGCCTGGATCCACTCCTCATACAGCTCAAATGTCATGAGGGGTTCTGGCAGCTCTCGCAGGTAGGACTTGAGGGCTCCTGCAGCACACAAGGGACACGGGGCTCGACACTGCAGGTGGCACCAGATGGTGGGGACAGAGTGGTTTTGCTCCTTGGCATTTTGATTCCCACCCCTCCCAAATTTAACACATCCCAAAGCACCCTCTAGTCTCCCTGGCTTGGTGGAGCCTATGGCATTGCCTGACCTCCTGCAACCACCTTGCCACCTTCAGCTAGTCCCTCCTAGCACCTCTCTGAATCCCTCCATCATTCTTGCCCCCATCAGGTGTTCACCCTGGTCTCCATCCTTCATTTTTGCCTTGGACCTTCACAACTTGTGCTGGGAAAAGGTTCCCATTGAAGTCAACAGGAATCCAGGGTCCAATTCTGCGGCTGCCAGAAAGCCCCAGCCCAGGAGAGCAGCTGGCTAGCATTTAAACCTAATAAATGCTTAATTGCAGTCCCATGGGTTGGGATCTCTGCTTAGAGAGGGCTTACATCCCAGAAGAGGTAAAGAGAAGACAGCAAGCTTGATGAGACCACACATGCATCTTCCCAACTACTCCCTACTCCAGCAGAGATTCTCCTGATCAGTATCACCAGGGCCCCACCACCTGGATTACGATTGTGTTCCTGTTTTCTTCCTCACCTGAGTTCCAAAACACTGCTCAAGCCCCTGCCCAGGGAAGGGGACACGGTGGTTGGGGTTTGTGCTCCTTCGTGTATGGCAACTCCTGAAAGCCTGACCACCACTGCCACTGAACAGTGTGTTTCTGCACCTGCTTTGTCCCCTGTATATTGTGTCTTCACTGTTCAAAGGCTTTGGGACAAATCACAGAAGGACTGAGGTTGGGAGGGACCTCTGGAAGTTGTCTGGTCTAAACCCCCACTCCAGCAGGACCACCAGAACTGGTTGCTCATTATTGTGTCCTGGTAGCTTTGGAGTATCCTCAAGAATGGAGACTCTGCCACCTCCTTGCGCACAGCCTGTGCCAGCCCTTGGTCACTTGCACAGTGACCAAGTGTCTCCTGAGGTTCAGAGGGAAGCTCCTGTTTGTGCCCACTGTCCTGGAACTGGGCACCATTTGAAAGAGCTCTGTCCTCTTTGTACCCACCCTGCAGGTACATCCACTGATGACATCTTCCTGAGCCTTCTCCTCACCAGGCTGAACAGTCCCAGCTCCTTCAGCCTTTCCTCCCAGGAGAGATGTTCCAGGCCCATCTTCACAGCCTTTCATTGGGCTCCCTGCACTATGTCCACTTCCCTGCTGTAATGCTCTGAAGTGGAAGGATCACCTCCCTTCACTGGCTGGTATCACTCCTCTCAGTGCAGGCCAGAACACCATTCACCTTCAGTGTGCCACAAAGGCACATTGCTGGCTCATGGTCAGCTTGGTGGCCACCAGGACCCCCAGGGCTATCTCCGCCAAGCCACTTTCCAGCTGGGCAGCTCCAGCATGTCCTGGTGCCTGGGGCTCCTCTTCCCCAGGGGCAGGACTTGGCACTTCCCCTTGCTGAACTTTACCAGGTCTCTCTCAGCCCACCTCTCCACTGTGCCCAAGTCCCTCTGGACGGCAGCACACCTCTCAGTTTGGTGTCATCTGCAGAGGGTCCACCCTGCCCCATCCATCATCCACATCATGAATGAAGGTGTCAATCAGGATTATACCTGGCATGACCCCCTTGCCTACACCACTGGTTACTGGCCTCCAAGTAGACTTTGTGCCACTGATGACCACTCTCTGGGTGCCCATAGCTGGTGCTTGGGGGCTGGATGGGCCACCCTACACAGCACCAACCCCCTGCCCCGAGGCAGCATCTACCTGCGATGGCATGTGGGTCAGCTGAGTACTCCTGCACATCCACCACGCAGCAGTCCAGGGCAGCTTTGAGCTTCTTCAGCTTGGAGGCCGAGGGAGCGACTCGGAAAAGACCCTTCACAGAGGATACAGGAAAGCGTCGGACAAGCTTTGGGACAGGGGAATGTCCCCCAAACCCCCTGGCTCCTTGCCCCTGCCTTGGAGGTTTCCAAGTCCACTTCCACCATGCCCAACCGAGGGTGGTAGGACATGGGACCCACCTCCTCCTGCATGCCGCACTCCAGGAGCATCGTCACGCACGCCTCCACAGGAAAGGCGATCTCCCGCCCGCTGACAGCCAGGTGCTCCTCCAAGGGCTTCCCAAAGGAGGGCTTTTCCATCCATGCCTCTGTGACAGGCAGAGGGGGTGAGAGAAGGGGGGGAGGACATGGCGGGGACGGTGCCGGATACAGCATCCGCTCCCCAAAAAGCCCTTGGATCACAGCATTTCAGCAGCAAAATATTCCATTTGGGTGTTGCTAAAACAACAGGACCCCGCACCTCTGTCCTGGGTGGCTCGGGAAGTGCTTTTTAAAGATGAAATCCAAACAAAATGTTTTCCAATCATCACACGGGACATTTCAAAGGGGCTGGATAACGTTTTCCGGGGGAACAACCACAGGCAAACCTTTGCAATATTTTCCCCCTTCTTCCATCACAGTTTGAGGCAGGAATATTTTGTGGGATCGAGAGAAAGAAAATAAAATACAAATCGCTCCCTGCCCTGCTGCAGCAGCACCCCAAGCCCTGCCCCGGGGAATGTGCTGCTCTTGGGGCCACCGCACTGGGTGGTGGCCCCAGCCCTGACCTCTGCCTCCCAGCCCAGCTCCTTTGAAGGTCTCACACTGAAAAGTGCAGCCCCAGGAGCCCCCCGTGGCACTGAATTCCCACCTCTGGTGTTGCACGTGATGGGAATAGTCGGGCTGGTTTCCCTTCCCCCACCCCCATGAAGCTGGCTGGATCCTGCCCCCCACAACCAAGTGGGATGGGGATGGGACGGCCTCCGCAGGGCTGAGGCAGGCGGGATGCAGGTGGAGCAAAGGGAGGATGCTCAGGTGCCACGCCGGGGGGGGGGGTCACGCTGGAGCTGGCTCATCGCTGTGGCAAAGCCCTGCATGGCTCTGGCGTGATGCAGAGCCCTCAGCGCTGTGTGCAGGAGGGGACAGGCACTTACCCTGCTGGGCTTTAATCTGAGGCAGGACACTCTGCAGCAGCGCTAGGGATTTCCGGTGGTATTCAGCCTGCACCTCGATGAGCTGCGGGGACACAGCAGCGGCTGTCACCCTGCGGCCGCGCTGCAGCAGTCCCGCAGGGTGAGTGGCACTTACCGTTTGGAAATAGTTTGCATAGTCTACTTCTTTGGCCACAAAATTGTACATATCAGCCGAGAGCTGGTCCTATGGAGAGCAGAGAATAAGTTGCTGTCCCATCCATTCTGCCCCCATGCCACCATGATGGCCCTTTTGGAGGCCACCAGGAGGGACCAGCTTGGTCACAGCAGGAGCCAATATGCAATCTGGCACACTGCAGCACCCACTCGAGAGGTGCTTGGCATGTTGAATACATGGCAGCAGCATGGGGGTTTGCTCTCTGCCCATCCTCAACCTCCCTCGTCTTCCTTCCAGAGCCCACAAGGAGCCGGCAACTTGCAAGGAGCTCCCTGCATGTGACAGTCACTTGGGGACAACCTGTCAGCCAGAGGGTGCACATCCTGGCGGGCTGAATGGCACAAATTAAACCCCAAGTTTGCTCGTCCCGCAACCTCATTACATTGCTCCTCGCGTGCAAGGGGCTCATTAACCCCAGACCTAATTGCTGTGCCATGGAGCGGTGTGCACTGCCGCTGGTAGTATCCCAACCACTTGGTGTGGATCAGACTGATGGGGCATCAGGTGCTTCTTGCTCTGCATTGCAACGAGCCCCTCAGCTCCAGGATATGAGTGTCTCTGTCCTCATGGTCACAAAATAGATTTTGCCACTTCCTGAATTGCTCCTTTCTGAGAATCCCCTTGCTTCACCCAGCAGGATGAAAATCACCAGGGTTTTAAAACACTCTGAGCGTGTCCCAGCTGCAACATCACCATCAGTGCAGTCAATATACGGGGGCAGCACCTGGCTGAGCTGCTTTGCTGAAAATTGCTGGGCATGTGGGGCTGTGATGCTCTAAGATGGGGGAGATGGTGCTGTTTTGGGGCTAGATTTGTCTGAAAGGCCACTCGGGTCCTGGTTGTACCACTGGAGGAAAATGCCAGGTTTGAGACATGCACCCAGCTCCACCTCCTGCCCAACACCTGCAGCACCAGCTCTGCCTGGGCCTTTGCATTTTCTGCCCTGGGGGAATTTAAAGCCACACAAAATTGTCTGTGAGTTTTATTGCTGGCTCCTGCAGCCTGTGATGAAGGCTCTGGCAGCAGCATCCCCTCTCAGACACTTTTCCCACACAACATGCCCAGTTGGGGGCCATGCTCCTGTGGGATTGTGGGGGGTGACGTGGCCGGGTACAACAGGCGGGCTTGGAATGTGCTGGCACTTCCTGCAAGTCTGTGTGCCAGGACTGGGCATACTTAGTGCTGAGCTCAGTGGCTCCTGCTGGGATGGGTCCATTGGGAATGGGATGCTCTGGCTCCACCAGGACATGGAGCATGGGGACACAGGAACCATGGATGTCCTTCTTGGCCTGGTGAGCATCACCCACTGCCACCAGGCTGCTTTATGTTTTTTTTTACCAGCCAGGCTGGTAAATAGGGTAAGAAGAGGGTGAAGAATGGGATAAGAAGAGATACTGAAGGCTTTTCCACAGTGCTCAGACACCACGGTCCCCCCATGCCAGCAAGGAGCAATCCCCCAGGTACCCTGCAGATCTCCACTCTGTTGGCCGCCTCCTCCATCTCCTCCCTGAGAGCGTCGGCTTTGGCACCCGAGGGCTGCAGGTTGCTGGCCAAACCCGAGGACTTGGCAGACTGCTGCCACCTGCGGAGAGGGCAGAGCTGTCACAGCGAGGGACAGGGACCCAACAGAGCCCTGGATCCCAGCCACAGGGCAGTCCAGGGACTCCCCTCAGCCAAGATTACCATGGTCCCCAGTGCTCAGCACCATGCAGATGGTCCAACCTAGACTGGGAGGCAGTGTCTACTCCCAGCCCCAAACATCCCCAGTCCCAACCAGCTGCAAGCACTGGGCTCTCCTTACACAATTATTTTCAGAAGGACAAGTCCCATCCAGATGGGAGGAGAAAAGAAGGCACTGGGAAAGCCTGGACATGATACTGGTGATTACAGACACTTCCCAGACCTCTCCCCAGAGCCCACCAACTGGATGTCCCCAGGCAAAACCCAAAGAGCAGCCAACCCCAAGGGTCATCCCTGCTCCACCCCAGCAGTACTCTACAGTGGTAGGAGCGCCCAACTCTGCATTATGTAAGAACTCACCAAGATAGGGAAAAGAGTTAAAAACAAATATTTGTGCCAGAAAAAAAACACTCTTTTCTGCAGAGGGCAGGCAAGGCAAAGTGATCTACAGATCCTGCAGACAAGATGAGAAATCTTGGCTCACTGAAGAGCTTGAACTCAAGGCACACAGTGACACGGCCCTCCCTGGCACTAGTAAAAGTACCCATCACTTGGTTTAGTTTTTATAAAGCAGTTTTGAAGCTGCTTCCTACCTTGTCCTGGAGGAGTCCATATCCAGCACGAGCTTTGCCAAGTGCTTCCTCTGCTTTTGGATATTTGGGATTTCCACCTGCAGAAACACACAGGAACGGGAGGCAATAAACGTCCCCGGAGAGACACTGGGGACAGGTCACGCCTGACTGCAGTGCTGGAGCTGGGGTGGTACAAGCGGGGCGGTAAGATGCAGCTCCTTACTTTAACATCATTAGGAAGACGGCACAGCTTGTCCCTCCTCCATGTCTCCACCTGGGCTGTGCCACCCCCTGACAGCCCCGACCACAGAATCCACACCCCTGAGAGGAGCATCCTTGGGGGATCAAAGATTTCTGCACTGAGGAGGAGGATGAAGGCAGGAAAAGGGCTTTTGGGGGTGGCAATGCAAAGGCCATGCACAGGATGGTTTGCCAAAGGATCTGGTAATGGCCGAAAGCCCCAAACACAAGCAATGAGACAGAGCTCATGTTTCTGCTGGGGGAGACAAAATCCGAACCAAGCCAAGAACATTCTGCCAGATGTAAAAGGGGAAAAAAGGATGCACTGCGTAAAATTGAAAAAGTTGGCAGCAGGGGGGAAGCGGGCAAAAAAACCTTCCCAAACAACAGTGGTTTTGTTTGGAACTGAGATAAAATGGGTGAGGAATAAGTGTTAATGCTCTGCTTTTTGGGAATGGAAGAAAAGAGCAAGAGCAGCAAGAGCAGGCAAAGGAGCCCGGCAGGACCATCACCCAGCCCTGCTGCACATGCAGACACTGCCCCCCCAGCAAAGCATCAGAGAGCCTCAAAGGGGAAGGTCTCTCACTGGGGCCAGGAACCAAATATGCTGCCAAAGCCATGAGACCTGGCTCTCCTGCAGGCTGGTTTGGATGCGAGCCTCCAGCGCACAGCGACACCCAACACAAGGACGTCTCCGACCACCGCTCACCTCAGCCAGCACGAAGAGAGGCTCGATGACGTCCCTCTCCACCTGCAGCTCGAAGTGGATGAGCTCCTGAGCCAGCTTGTCCTCTGCCTCCCCGCACAGCCGCAGCATCTTCCTATAAGGGCACACCAGGGAAGCGATGGGCACCCAGCCTGTGCCCATGGGGCTCTAAGCCCCTGCGGGTCTTGGCAGCAGTGCAGGGCAGCCCTTCCTTGGCAGAGGGCTGGAGGGGCCAGAGCACCTCGGGGACCATGGGCACCCTGGGTGTTAGGAAAATATCATTCTGTAACTATTGTACCAATTATAGTCTGAAATTTTATGGAGTTTTATTATTTTTATATATATATATATATATATGTGTGTATATACATACATACACATACATACTTTTTTTTTTATAAATATATGTAAGTCCAGAAGAGAGCCATGAAGATGCTGCGAGGGCTGGAGCAGCTCTGCTCTGGAGCCAGGCTGAGGGAGCTGGGCTGGCTCAGCCTGGAGAAGGCTCCTGAAGGGGAGACCTGAGAGCAGCTCCAGTGCCTAAAGGGGAAAACTGGAGAAGGCTTTGGAAAGGGCCTGTAGGGCCAGGCCAAGGGGAATGGCTTTAACCTGCCAGAGGGGAGACTGAGATGAGCTCTTAGGCAGAAGCTCTTCCCTGTGAGGGTGCTGAGGCGCTGGCACAGGGTGCCCAGAGAAGCTGTGGCTGCCCCATCCCTGGCAGTGTTCAAGGCCAGGTTGGACACAGGGGCTTGGAGCAAGCTGCTCTAGTGGAAGGTGTCCCTGCCTGTGGCAGGCAGTTGGGACTGGATGAGCTTTAAGGTCCTTTCCAACCCAAACCAGTCTGGGATTCTATGATGACATACAGTCTGCACTCTATCCTACATGACTAAAAGGGTCCCATCTTATCACAAGGAGAAGAATAAAGAAATCCTCTGGACTGCTGAGATCACATGACCATCCCACCCCCTCTGACACCACTGTGACCCCCTTCCCCGCCTCCCCTGCCCCAGTTATCTGGCATCATAGATAAGGAACTACGGCAATTCCCGGCGGCAGCCTCCCAGCGGTGGCACAGCACCGGGGAGACCCTGCCCCCCCTTACCCCAGCAGGGAGTCGTCGCCCAGCACCGCTGACCCCTCCATCAAGCACTGTGCCAGTGTTGTCAGCGGCAGCTTCTTCTGCAAAGAGAGGGCTCTGGTTCGATCCGCCAGCCCAGTGCTGCCGCCCGCCCGGCAGCCTCAGAGCCCTGCCAAAGCCTCACCGAGCGCTTGTCAGCGTCCACGCCTTGCTGGCCCTGCAGACATGCGGTCAGCTTCTTGTGGGTGCTGTGGGAGACCTGCTTCACCAGCTCCAGGCGCTTCTCCACCTGCGGATGCAGCGGTGTCCATCACCGGGGTATCCCACCTGGTCCCACGCCCACGGTGCAGTGCCATAAGGAACTTCTTCATTTTCAATCTAAATTCTTTCAATTGCCACCGCATCAGATGCAACAGCCCCAGAGCCCAGCCCCTTCCCGAAGCAGGGATGCTTTACGCAGGTGAAGGCTTCACCAGACTGATGCTGCCCCATAGTAATTCCTTGAGGGAGGCTGACAGCCGGATGGGACCAGCCTCCAAAGCCTTTGCACCCCTGGGGTGTGGGGAGGAGATGTCTGTCGCAGCTGAGCCCTGCCACAAACCAAACTGGCCAATACTCTAACCTGGGTCTAAAAGTTGCTTTAATTGCCTCTGCATTGATTAAATGAAGCAGTTCATCCCCAAACTCAGCTAGACAAGTCATTAAACGTCAGCAAAGAAGATCTGCCGAAAACCAAAGCTGAGAGACACGAGGAAAGCATGGAAACCTCAACATTTGGGCAAATAATCTGTGAAAACAGAAATATTTAAATGATCTGGGGGAAAAAATGACTACTCCCTTCCAGGGACAACTCCTGAGCCTGCAGCAAGTCCTTGAGGCAGGAGGCAACTCCTGAGCTGAGCCACCCCCCACCACTATAATGATATGTATCTTAGTAACGTTTTATATAGAATGAAACAATCTCTATAAAAGTATTACATATATATTTAAATAATGAAAGAACTCTATGATTCCTGGCTGAGGCAGAGCAGCCTCTGCCATCCCTGCAACGTACACATGTGCCTTTCAACATATAGATGAAATGTGTATGTATATATAAAAATTATAGAAATTATATATACAAACACACACATCCATGCATATGTTGCAAGGGGTCTGATGTTCAGAAGGGCACATATGTGGGTGCACACCCAGCTAAAGGAGCCAAACTGGAGGTAGATGCACACCCGGAAGGGTTTGGGTTCCCCACCATCCTGGAGACAGACCCCTGCCAACATGAGTGACTCTTCACTCTGCACCCAGACAAGGCAGCACCCACCACCCTTCCCACTAAAATATCTCCAAAAGGTGTAAAAATCCCCTGTGCCATGCTGCCAAAGCCAGCCATGCCCTTGACAGTGTCATCACTGGTGCTACCAAGTGCTGGGATGTCACCGGTTGGCTCCAAGAGCAGGGTCTGACTCTCGGTGCCGAAGGGCTACAGAGACGTCAGAGCTTGAAAGGAGAAACACCAAAAATTAAAATTGAAACAAAAAAAGTTCATTATTCACGTTTTCTCTGGCTGCTGGTGGTGGGGAGTACTCAGATCCCCTCCGCTCTGTCTTACTGGGGCTGACCATCCCTGGGGATCAGGGCACGTCACTGCTGCACCCGGCCCATCCCTGCCACCAGCACTGATGGTGAGGAAAGGAAGATCTCCATCTCTTAGGAGACAGGATTGAGAGCAGCCCTGAGAGGAAGGACGCAGACGTGTTGGTTGATGAGAAGCTCCCCATGACCTGGCTTCAGTGTGCGCTTGAGTCTAGACCCCCCTGTGTGCTGGGTGCACCCCCAGAGCATGAGCAGCAGCTCAGGGAGGGGATCCTGCCCCTCTGCTGTGCTCTGGGGAGACCCCCCTGCAGTACTGATCCAGCTCTGGGGCAGCAGCACAAGAGGGACGTGGAGCTGTTGGAGCGAGGCCAGAGGAGGCCATGGAGATGCTGCAAGGGCTGGAGCAGCTCTGCTCTGGAGCCAGGCTGAGAGAGCTGGGCTGGGGCAGCCTGGAGAAGAGAAGGCTCCTGAAGGGGAGACCTGAGAGCAGCTCCAGTGCCTGAAGGGGCTGCAGGAAACCTGGAGAGGGGCTTTGGACAAGGGCCTGCAGGGACAGGCCAAGGGGAATGGCTTTAACCTGCCAGAGGGGAGACTGAGATGAGCTCTTAGGCAGAAGCTCTTCCCTGTGAGGGTGCTGAGGCGCTGGCACAGGGTGCCCAGAGAAGCTGTGGCTGCCCCATCCCTGGCAGTGTTCAAGGCCAGGTCGGACACAGGGGCTTGGAGCAAGGTGCTCCAGTGGAAGGTGTCCCTGCCTGTGGCAGGGGTTGGAACCAGATGACATTAAGACCTTTTCCAACTCAAACCATTTTGTGATAAAAAACTCCCAACTCCCACTGGCTGGTGGCTGGGATGCTACCACAAGGGCAGCGCTGCTGAACAACAAACCAACCCACCAGTGCCCCGATAGCCCATGCAGCCACTTCCATCAGCTATTTCTCACCAGTGCCAGTGACCAGCCGTGCTCTACCAGCATGTCAGGTCTCAGCCACGATGGAAACAGCTGCTGAATCCCTGGCAAAGCAGCAGGAGGGAGGGATTAATTGCTGCAGGCGGCTGCTCTCTGCACCCTGCTGGGACATTTGCAAACAGCTTCATTGTACTCTCTTCCACCGTGGTTCCAGCAACCTCTAGTGATGACTCACCCAAACCCTCTCCGTATTTTTGGCTAACACATGGCTCTTGCTAAAGCATGAAGTGTGCTGGGAGCAGGGTCATTAGGTCCAAGTGAGGGCAACACAGGCAGAACACTGTGGCCAGAAAGAGCTAAAGGTCATTCTGCAGCTACTGTCACTTGCAGGTCACAGCCTCCTGCCACAAGCATCCTCACAGGTTCTCTGTTTCTGCAGAACCTGCTACCTTGACAGCAACAGCACAGACCAAATTGCCAAGCTGCAAACACACCAGCTGAGACCAAAAAGCTTACACTTTTCCCAGCCCCAAGTGCTGAGGAGGCTCCAGCAGCAGCTGGACTGGCTGACAGCAAGGGATGCCTGCGGTGATGAAGGACAAGGGCTGGGCACCCTCACTGCTGCCAGGCGGCTGCTTTGCTCATCAATGCCCAATGGTTTAGACAACCTGTGAGTTAGAAACCTCATGAATTCAGTGATGGATTTGTGAATTCATTCTTTTTGCTGGCACTTCCTCAGACATCCCCCTCTGTGGAGTGTGTAGGAAGCACAGCTGATGCTCCACAGCACCACGTGAGGATTTTTGGCCAGGGCTGTTTTGCTGAAGTCTCCCAACCATCAGCTCTGGGGACTGTACCCTGCTGTCGCACATCTTATCCCCAGGACAGGTTTTGCAGCAGAGACAGAAGCCTCAGGCACCCGCCTGCAATCTGTCCAGCCATTATCAGGTTGCCATTCTGGCAGAGACAAGACTGGATCCAATTGCAGCTGACCTGAGAACCAGGCTGGGAAAGGGACGGGAAGGCATGTGGGAGGGAGGGAACGCTGCTTCTCACGCTCCCTATCCCCTCCTCCTCCTCCCAGCCCATCTCATCACTGCAGGACACTGTGGCATCGACCAGCACAGAAGTGCTGCTGCATCCAGCGTCACAGGCACAGGTCAGACCAGCTGCAGAGGGCCTCACCTGCAAGAGATCTTCACTCAAAACCTCTGTCTTCTCAGCCCTGCAAGACAAGAAAGAACATAAAGCATTGGTGAAGGGTCTGGCACACATGACTGCATGCTGCAGCACCGGGCACTGCTAAATGTGTTTTTCCATTGGGATGCAGCCAGTGATTTAAGGTTTTCTGGTCCCACCAGCCACCAGCTCATCCTCTAAATAAGCAAAGGATGGAGCACCTTCACAGCTTACTGTTAGCATGCTACATCCCCCACCAGTTTAGGGTCCTCCCCAGTCTCCCCCTTATTTTTTCATTATCCGCAACAGAGCAGGGATGCTAAATTCCCAGGAGGATGCAGGCAATGCTGCAGAGGGAGGCACTGTGTCTTTGTAAGGAAGCAGCTCCCTGGGCTCTGCTGGGCGATGGATGATGGTGACGTGGCTTTCAAGGACACAACCCGTCTGCACAACTGAGCCTCTTCAGTTGGACACAGCCGACTGGATCTCTGCAGCAGCTGCTGGGGCTTCGTCATCACCTTCCCTGCTTCTCCTTGGAGCCAGATTTACCACTCCAGAGCTTGTGTCATCCATCCACGGTCTTTGCTAGCAAAGAGCAGCAAGGATGCAAGAGACACAGGTCCGCAGACCCTCCTCAGCCATGCTGTCTGCAGCATCCTGCCTGCCAAGCCCCTGCACTGCTCCTCACCAGATCTGCTCAGGCTTATTTAAGCCATCACATCCAGACAATTTATTCATCTTCTTGGGGCTTTTTTACAACTTCAGTGCATCACCTCTCTTTGAAAAATGCCCTCTATCAAGATGTGCTTAGGCAGAGCTATGGCTTAGCTAATTAGTCCATACAGGTTTGTTGACAAAAAAAGAAAGCTCAGTGGTCTCACCTTTCTTAAAAAAGTACCTTTATTGCCTGGGCCCTGCTTGCTCTCTGCTGGATTCTCAGCTTTGAGAGACTGAGTTAAATATAGAAAAAGTGGGAAACAGGAGAAAGCACCGCCAGAGCAAGGTTCAAAGAGTGAGCCCAGCCCAGCAGCGGTGCCAGCCAAGGCAGGGTTTGGGCTACGGGCTCATCTGCAAATACACCACATTTAAAGACTTAAAAGAAGTGTAAATTAACTGCATTAAATCTGGTTTCTGTATGAAAATTGTCCCAGAGTCTGATTCAAGTTGGGTTTAAAAATGACCCCCAATTAATTGTGGCTGTTAAAAAAAAAAAGGAATTTAAATGAATGTGTTCTGGTATCTTCCATATGACACACAAGTGATGCACTGGCTGCCCAGGAGCAAGAGCTGCTCAGGTTCTTCTCCTCTCCTGCATATCCTTTATGAACAGGGTTGGAAATATCCAGCAGCACAGCCACAATGACCATCCTGTTTCCCTGTCCTGGCTCAGGATAGATTGATTTAGCATCCCAAAGGAGAAGGAGGTGTCAGGAATGCAGGCAAACATTGCACACCCACACGCAAGCACCCCCAGCAAACATCCTGACTCTTGCTCAGCACCCCCGAAATTTAGACTTCCCAGAAAGAAAGATTTCCCTTTCTTGCACCACCATCCACCAAAAGTGATGTTCCCACTTGTCTTCTCCTTTTGTGGCTGGGCACCAGCCACCCCTCATGGACACTTTGCATGTAAAGACTAACAAATACCATCCTCTTCCTTCTCCCATGTTGCGCTGCATTGCAGCTCCATGCTGCCAATGCCACCAGGAAAAATCCCTTTATATTCCTTATGTTTCTGAATTCTCAGCCTAAAGTTAATACGGTTTTACAGGAGCTTATCTGGTTTTATGAGCAAACCTGCAGCAAACGGTGATGGCAGCAAGAGGCAGGGGAGGCTCCCTGCACACCCCAGGTTCCATCCTGCTTGGGGGATATTTTCTGGGTGCTGAGCCGTTGCCAGCTCTCAGAGATGCTCAAGGAGGCCCTGGTGCCCCAGTGCCACTTCTCTGGTATCAAGAGATTTCCCTAGGGGATGGAGAAATATCATCCCACTGCCTTTTCTGGGGGCAGGATGGCAGCACCTCTGTGAGAATCTTGGCAAAGCATCTTCAGCGAGCTCAGCCTTTCCTCTTCAACAAACCTTTTTGGTTCATGCTTTCTGCTCCCTCCCCAGATCAAGCTCAGCATCACACCTGAGGACGGGTGTGCACCCCCTTGCCTTCCCCAGCTCTCTGGCCTTGCCTTCCCATCCCTGAGGACAACCGTTCACTTAAACCTCCCAGGAAGCAGGAGCCCCAGCTCCTGGTTTGCTCCCGAGTGCTTAGTTCAGACCATGTGGGACTTTGGAGCCCAAATCACAAAGGTGCTTCCAAAACCCCACCCACCAGAAACCCGTTAACAGCATCAATAGGAACCAGACTGGATATGACTGATGCTAGAAAGCGTGTCTGACTCCAGCAAAGATGTTCTGTTCCAGCCTGACATCTTGCTCCCATCCAAGGAATCCTGTAGCTCCTCCTGGCACCCCCCATCCCCTCCAGGCACATCCCAGCTCATCCCCAGCATCCCCCAGTTCCTCTCTAGCATCCTCCATCCCCTCCTGGCATTCCTCAGCCCAGCATGTCCCAGTCCCTCTTGGCACCCCCCAGTTCCTCCCCAGCACCCCCATTTTCCCCCTCGCCCTATGACACAGGCTACCATGTCCTGGGGCAGCTGGGGGACTATATCAGCCCTCCCTTCCTCATGCCCTGGCAGGGTTCAGGTCTCTTTTGTGCTTACCCCATAACCCCAGACCCACAAATGATGCTCAAGGGCCTGATGCATGCAGCAGAGTCCAGGGAAGTGGCTGTCTGGTGGCTGGAGCATCCCAGGGCCCAACCATCAGGGCAGCTGGTGGTAGCAAGAGAACACCTCCTCTAGGCACCAGCTGAAGCCAGCATCAGCTTTGGACAACTCTTTTCACACAGTCATTTGCAGGTGGGTATTTCCATCCCCATGTCTCCCCAGGCAGATGCAGCCAGGGCTCCCATGCTGGGACACAACCCCTCCAGGGAACCAGACTCACGCAAGGTGACCTCAGGAAACAGCAGCACCCAAGAGAGGAGTGCAGGGAGCCCCCAGTTTCCCTGGCTCTTCCCTAATCCCTCAAAACTTCATGTTTATGAGCTACACATGTCCTGCTGGAGGACCCCTTAGAGAGGCAGCCGGGATTACCAGCTTTCAATGCTTTATTCCAGCTTTCCTTTAGCAAATAAAAGCCCTCTCCTCTAATTCCTCTTCAGGTTTTTACCCCAGAGCTGTTTTTCTCAGCACAAATACAGGCAATCCTCAGACCCAGCCAGCACCAGACACACATTGCTGCAAACAGCTGGAAGAAAAGGGATAATTAATATGGAGAGTTTAAAGCAAACGAGCAGGGAATGCAACTACAGTTTGGTCAGGCCTTTGCTTCTGAAAAAAAACCCTAATTGCTGCCAGCAGAAAACAACATCAATTGAGCAAATTAAGTTGATTTCCAAACAAACACTACATGAGCTTGCAATGCCTTGACCTGGGGACCTACAGCAAAGCATCTGATGCCAGACATCTCCATCCAGATCATCCATCACGATGCCCACCCCATGTCTCACCACCATCCTCCTCTGATGCTCAAACCACCCAAGACAACCAGCTGCCAGCCCTGGATTTGACCCCCAGCCAGCAAAGCTCAAAACATGACAAGGATTTCACAGCATTTCCCAATGAATGGGAAACCCATCACACCTGAGGGTGGGCAGTGCTTCATCCAGCGTGGATGCGTCCCCAGAGGCAGAGTGTGTCCGCAGTGCCCCAAGGACCCTCTGGCTCACACTTTCTCTCAAAACATCCCTTTCACCCCCACCCCTGGCCACCCCCTCGCTGCAGGATGCCCGTGACTGTTTCATAGAACACTACAGAACAGAAAAAACACATAAACACCTATTTCATTGCTATTGCATTACCGGCACCAGCCAGTTCCCCTGGTTTCTCTTTGTTCCAGTCTAAAACCAGCCTTGCAGCTGCATGAGGCAGAGGGAGGCAGAACCCACCAAGGCCACCCTGCATCAGCAGCGCTGACTCCCACGGCTGGGGCTGTGCCGAGGTCCCACACGGGCTTGGGAATGGTGCCCAGCTCCATTTTGGTCCTGCCTGTGCCTCCCTCCAGTGCCGCCACACATGCCTGGGGGCTGGTACCCACAGGAACCGTCAAGGTCCTTGAACCCCCTCAGGCTCAGAGGTGAGGTTGGTGAGGTTCAACCACACAACTTTGCTAAGGCACTGAGCACCCATCGATTGTGCCAGAGGGAGCAGAAAGCTCCACAGGTCTCACCCAGGCAACCCCTGGAAGTGCCAGGCATCACCAAGCCAGATGCTGGTCTAAGGACAGCGCTGTTCCCAGCTTCTGCTGCCATCTGAGCAACCCACATCCCCAGGGACACACAGTGTGATAGCGCATAACCAAGAGATGGCTGAGGCCAAACGGAGCTGTGGGTTTTTCACCAGGAAAATCTTGAGCAGACAAGTGAAACGTCAAATATTTATATCCTCAAATCGCTGCTCAAATCCCCCAGGGAGACGACTCCAAGCTGCAGCATCCAGTGATATGAGGTGAAACAGCCCCAGCAGCACCTCCTCCAGTGCTGCCCGGGCCCATCCTGACCTGGTGGGGGACCTGCAGTAACAGTCCCTGTGTCCCAAACCTGTGGCTAAGGCCAGTGATGCCCCCCCAGCAGGCCCAGTGCCAGGGCTCAGCCCCTTGCAGCTTGCCCAGCTATGGCTGAGCCAGGCTGGAAAAGCAGAATGAAACAGGCAGGGAAGGACTGGTCCAGCTTTCCTCAGTCCTGCCCACTGCTGGGAAAACCAACGGAACCAGAGCAAAACAGGGGACAGAATTTTAAAGGCAGAACAGCCTCTTCTTCTCATCTCCTGCCACTTTCCTGGCTGCGAGCTCTCTGCATCAGCATCCCTTCAGCATGGGATGCATAGGGCCCTTTGCTCCTCGCTCCTGGCTCATCCCCGGCAGAGGAACCCCCACCCCGGTTGCATCCTGACCACGCTTTAGTCCTGATTTGAAAATCACGGAGGGGCTCTACGGAGGGGCCCCTGCAGAGCTCCAGGCCCTGACGCTGTTGGCCCAAGGATGAAACCTTCAGTCTGCTTCAGGAATATTGCAGTTTGTCAGTGCTGCTGCCTTGCCAGGAGGATAAAAATATCCCCAGGATGCTGCCGGCGGCACTCGGCAAAACCAAAAAGCCTGGGGGGATGTGCTGCTGGTGAGCTGCTGGCACCCCAAAGTGCAGACATGGGACCCAGCTATTTAAAGCATGTTATTCCCTCCTGCAAATCCCACTGGAAAAATCCCAGGCAGTGTTTTATTCTCTCCATCCTTATTTCGTATGCAGAATAAAATGTTCTTATTTTCTTGCAGAATATTCTTACTGCACAGAGAGTAAAACCGTGGAGTTTAAAAGCTTGATATTTATGTGCAGACATCCTGGTGCTTGGAAAAGCATCTGCCTTGAGAGGCCCCCAGCGGACGGCCAGCCCAAAATGCCACTGTGCACAGGAAGAGGGATACACCTTGGGATACTCAGAAAGGACCAGGAGGGAATAAAACCAAACCCCAAGCTGACAGCATCCTCTCCGGTGTCCCCCATCACCTGCTGTGCCATCCAGGAACCCAGCCATGCCGCTCTGCACATGGCTGCAGGCACCTGTTTTATTCCCAATGGGAAAAACCCATATTGAGCTAATTCTGGCAAATTCCCAGGGCTGCTCCAGTGCTGGAGCGAGCGCTGCGGCATATTCACACCCATCATCCTGTGACCTCAACACAAGGGTGGGAGCTCCCCAGGCTCACCCGTGAGATGGAGAGAGAAATACAAATAAAAGCACTTTGAGAAAGCCTCTTCAGAACGTTTTACAGCCACTTACTGGCTTTTCTTCCCTTTTTTCACCCCACAGATATGAACATGATGGCCCCTCACAGGATAGGTGCAGAAATTCTCCCGGAGGCTGGGTACTAAGCGTGAGTCTGGGCTGGAATGAGCATCCCCGGTTCTTTCTAAAGAGTGAAATGACCTAAGTCAAATAAAGTAAATAAAATCAATAAAGTAAAAAAATCAACTAAATTAAAAAGCCAAAATTTAATATAATTTTGAAATAAAAATAATAAAATAGTAACAAAAAGTAAAAATAAAAAATAGAAAATGTAAAATTAAAATTAAGATAAATTTAAATAAATAAATATAAAAATAAAATAAAATAGACTACAAATAAATAAAAAGCATAAAATTAAATGAAATGAGGTGAGATGATGAGATGTCAATCCCCCACCACATGCTGGTGCTCTGCTCTCCCCCAGGGCCCAGGAGGTCCCTTTGCAGCCCCAGCACCCCAGGGGGAGCAGCAAAGGCTGTGACAGTACCGAGGAAATGGAGCTGGAACTGTATCTGGAAAGGTAAGGAAATGCACTCAGCATCCTCATCTGACCTGATCCTGATCCTAACCTTGACCCCAGTCCTGACCTTGACCCTAACCTTAACTGTAACCCTGGCCCTAACCTTGACCCTGATCCTAACATTAACCTTCAACCTGACCCATGCCCATCCCTCATCATCCAGCTGAGCCCTGTCCCTCAGCTGCAGAGTCACCTCACAGGGGCAAAGAAAGTGCTGCTCCTGCCTGTCCCCCACACTTACAGATGGGTTTTTCCCTCCTTCAGCTGCCTTTTTTCTTCCTTTTCTATTTTTTTTTAAGGAAACTGCACCACAAAAAGCAGGAAAAGCCACCAGGGACTGAGACCCCCTCCTGTCTGCCTCTGCACGCCTCACAGGGTGGCTGGGGACATGTCACCACGGGCCCACATGTCCTGTGGGACTCAGTCCTGACCCAGCTCCCTGTATCAGTGCGGGGAGCGCAGCCGTGCCGGCAGCACCAGGAGCTCCTGGCAGGGGTGACACCAGCTGGATGCTACCACCACCACGTGCAAACCATCCCCAGTGCCCCTTCCCCCTCTGAGGGACACCCAGTACAGTGCAACCCCAGCCCCAGGACAGCATCCAGCCCCTCAGTCCCCAGACCTGGCCTTGGGGCGGTGGCACCCATGAATGGTGCCCCTGGATGGTGGCCCATGGGGGTTTGGTGGCAGGCAGGAGGGAACACCCCTCAGACATCAGAGGGATGCAGTGCTTGTATACCGGGTCTCTATTATTATTCCCTATATCCACTTAATCCCCATTTCCATTTATTATTCCCTATTTCCATTAATTATTCCTTATTTCCATTATTATTCCTTATTTCCATCTATTATTCCTATATCCTTTTATTATTCCCTATTTCCAGCTGGCTGGAGAGGGCTGCTCATGGCTCAGGAGAAAAAGGATAAAACATCAGCCCATGTTCCAAATGGGGACCAACGGAGCCTCCCATGCTGAGGAGGAAAGGTAAGGAGGAGGAAGAGGATGATCCCTGAGCTCTCACCAAGCCTTGCAGAGGCTCCAGCTGCCCCATCTGGGCACTGAACAAAGAGGGGACCATAAACCCCCATCCCTGTTAAACCCAGCCCACAGAGCTGGCAGCACAGGTAGTGCTGCAGGCAGCAGCCACACCATGGCATCAATGGAGCTCATCACAAGCCAGCATCGCGGCGAGCCCCAAAAAGGATTAGGGGTTCAGGGGCCAAGGGCTCCCAGCCCCGCAGCCGCCATTCCCACTCCCCAGGCTGCAAGTCAGGCATGGCAGGAGCCCAGCACGGCCCCCATGCTCCCAGTGGATGCGGGAAGGAAGATGCTCAGTGCCTTGTCAGTGGCACCATTTCAAAGCCAGGCATGCGTGCAGTGCCTGGCTCATGTCTCCCATGTGGCAGTGGCGGGATCTGAGGACATCCCTGCCCTGCAGCCCCACAGCCCCAGCTGGGAGACACGTCAAACCTCCTCAGAGCATCCAGACAGCAAACCCGGTCTGGCAAAGATGCAAGGAGAAAATCAATCCATCCTCAAAACAGCCTCCTCCTGCTGCTCTCCACAGGACGCAAGAGCCAGTCTAACAGTGCTCCTGCACCACGGTCCCTGTGCCACCTTCCCTGTACCATGCTCCAGCACCACACTCCTGCACCACATTTTTGCATTGCTTTCCTGTGCTGCAGTCCTGCACTGTGCTCCCACACCGAATTCCCACCCTGTGCTCCTGCACCGTGTTCCCACACTGCACTCTTGTGCCAGATTCCTGCACCATGCTCCTGCACCGGATTCCTGTAGCACGCTCCCAAGCCACTCTCCTGCACTGCATTCTTGTCCCATGTTCCTGCCTCGATATTCTCGCACGGTGTTCCGGTACTATCTTCCCACACTGCACTTGCTCCCTCACCGCATTCCTGCACCATGATCCCACACGATGCTCCTGCAGCATGCTCCCGCACCAGATTCCCACAGCATGCTCCTAAACCGCATTCCCACATCACAGGCTCGCACTGTGTTCCTGCTACTGCACTCCTGCCCAGCCAGCACAGCCCCAGCCGGTGTCTTGCCACCATCCCGGACCCCTGCCTGTACGGCGGTCACCAACTGCTGCCACCAATCGCCACCAGCCTGGCTGAGGATGCAGAGCCAGCAAGATGTCCCCATTGCCATGGGGGACACGGTAAGGGGGCACACAGGGGATTGTCAGCAGAAATCCAAGCCCTTGGCTGGCTCCAGGAGGGAATGCTGAGCCCAACAGCCCAGCCGTGCCTGTGCCGATGCCCCATGCCACACTGGGAAGGAAAAAATAAATCCCTCCCCTCTCCAGCTGCAAAATCTCCTGGAATTACACAACAGCCAACACCAAACCCTGGGCCTGGCCATGCATCAGTGCACACGGGCATGGTCCCCCACACCTCACAGCCACCCCATGGGAGGCCACTCATGGGTGCTGGGGGGAGCAGACCAGTGGGGCACCCCACAGCATGAGGGCTAGGATGGGCAGACAGTGGGTGTCCCTGCAGCCCAGCCCTGGGACACAGAAAATGGGCAGGGGCAGGTAGGGTGAGAGCCGGGGCAGGCAGGATAGTGGATAAAAGGTGCAAGGTGTGGGGCAGGGCAAGGAGGGCAGAGGGTGTGAGCATGGGGACAGGGAGGGGTTAACGAGCAGGCAGGGTGCAGGCTGGGGTTGCAGGCATAGAAGGAGGCAGGGAATGGGCCAGGAGGAAGCAACCTGTGGGCACTGGGACAAGTGGAGCAGGCAGGACGCGGGCACTGGGGCTGCAGGGCATAGCGTGGGCAGAGGGTCGGTAGGGTGCAGGCATGGAGCAGGCAGGACGGGCAGTAGGGCAAGGGGCATATGGGAGAGCAGGAAGGTCACGGACTGGGAGCATAGGCAGTGGGGCAGGTAGGTGGCAAGCTGGGGAGCAGGGGCAGTAGGGTGGGCAGGAACACGTGCAATAGGAAGAGGGCAGGAAGCAGGCAGGGTATAGGAAAGGAGCAGTGGGGCTGGCAGGAAGCAGCCAAGACAGTGACGGGATGGGCAGGGGCAGTGGGGTAGGCAGGGAGCAGGTAGGGTACAGGATCAGGAGCAGGCAGGTGCAGTGGGGTGGCAGGGCACAGGCAGGAAGCAGGCAAAGGAACTGGCAAGGGGTGGGATTAGGGGCAGTGGGGCAGGCAGGATGGAGATAGAGCATGGGATGGGAGCCGAAGCTGCAGGCAGGGAGCAGGTGCTGCAGGGAGGGGGCAGGATGAAGATGCAGCGGAACAGGCAGGGGGCAGGCAGGGCGCGGCCCATCCGCATCCCCATCCCCATCCCCATCCCTATCCCTACCTGCCCACGGTCTGGTTGGCGAGCTGGCGCATGCGGTTGAATTGCTTCTTCATGGTGGCGGCGGCGGCGCGGGCGCCCCTCAGGCGGGAGGGCAGCGGGGGGCCACTGGCCGCCCCTCCCGCATCCTCGCCGGGCCGGGCCGGGCCGGGCCGAGCCGAGCCGAACGGGCCCGATGCCCCTGCGCGGCTCCGCGCCTCCGCCTGCGCGGGCCCCGCCGCGCTCCGCGCCCCCCGCTCCGCACCGCTCCGCACCGCCCCCGGCCGAGGCGGCGATGGGAAATGTAGTCCGGGACCGCGCCCCCCCGGCGAGGCCGGCAGGGTCGGGGGCACCTTGGGTCGTGCCTGGCCCAGGCATCCCCCCGGCCACCCCCCTGCATCCCTCTGCTGCCCTCAGCATCCCCCATCACTCTCTGCATCCCCCAGCACCCCCCCTCCCCACCGCTCCTGCATCCACCGCCACCTTCCTGCATCCCCCTGCACTAGGGAAGGCATCGGGGCCCTGGAGGGCTCAGATAAAGCCCATTTCTGGCCCCCGGCAGGTTCTGCTAAAGCCTGGCAAAGCCCTCCAGGTACCACGACAAGCAGAAGGAGCAACAGTGGGCTCTGGGAAAGCCCAGCAAAGCCCATCAGATGTTCCAAAAGACAGCAGGGGCCTTGGCAATCTATGGCAAAGCTCACCAAGCCATTGGTCATCCCGGCAGGCAGACTGGACAAAGCAAGGCTCCTGCAAAACCCACCATGGAAAGCTGTTGAGTATTTTGGAAGGCAGCAGAGGCTGTGGTGGTCTCAGGCAAAGTAGGCCAAATCAATCCAGGCATTCAGGAAGGCAGCTGGGGGTTTGGAAGGTAATAGGAAAGTCCACCAAAGCCTGTCAGGAATTTTGGGAAGTAGCAGGGGCACTGGTGGTCTCTGGCAAAGTGAAAGCCCCCGAGTACTATGGAAAGCAGCAGGAGCCCTGCTGGGCACTGGCAAAGGCTGCCAAAGCCAGCCAGGCGTTCCGAAGACATCAGTGGCCCTGGCATTCCCTTGTCAGCCCGGCAGAGCTTGCCGGGCATTTCAGAAAGCTGCAGGGGTCCTGTCGGGCAGCAAAGACCAAAGGGCACTCTGCAGGCAGCAGGGCCCCGGAAGGCTCTGGCAAACCCACAAAGCCCACCAGGAAGCCTGGAAGGTTTTCCCAGAGCTCACCTGCTGGTGGTCCTGTAAAGAACAGGGTGCTCCCCGACCCTGGCAGCTGAAATCCCCATATTGGAAAGAAATGTGAACTGAGATGTCTTGGCATTCCCGAGTCTTATAACCACAGTGAGTGACAAAAGCAAATTGTGGATCAGAGCCTTTCCTTTGCAGTTTGAACACATCCACTATAAGGAAAGTCTGAGTTACAAAAAGCAGGGACAGACAATCAGTTGAAAGCCACAGGATGTGCAACCTGGGATTATGTTTTAAGCAGGCAGTCCAAACAGTCTCCAAAATACATGTTTTTGAAAATGAGGGGGAAAAAGCCCTGCCAGCATCCAGCGTGCTGCCCCTCACCAGTCCTCATTCCCTCACATACCACAGAGGGGCACCACTGACCAAAAATTGCTTCACCTCCTCACAGGATGAAGGCTCAACTGAGGAGAAGGAAATAATTAAGCAGGAAGTGAAAATTAAACCATTCCGTGGAAAATGAAGGGGAAGGGTTTATGCATTCATCTACCTAAGCTAGTGCCTTGTCAAAGGACTGTTATTGGGAAACCACGGTGGGAAACAGGGACTCTGCTGGGGCAATGCTGTATTTTTCCTGCTTGAGGCCCAGTGGCTCCTGAGAAACAGTAACAGCCCCCGACGGGAGAAACCTCCTTTCCCAGTACCACTCCTGCTCCGGGAGCTGCGGCACATGCCTGAGAGTGCATGGCATCAGCAGTGGGGGCTGTGGGGGACCCGGGAGGAGAGGAAGCATCTGCTCTGTGCTGAACACAGCCACTTCCAGATGACTGCCTGGTTCCAGATGGCCCTGAACTGTCCCATCACAGGGCACAGCTGAACCCATTGCTGATGCTGGTGATGCCTCTGGGGAAATGTATTTAAGAAAGGGCAAAATTCCATGTGGCACTGAGGAGAGGGAGGGAAGAGGGGGGGGGAAGAAGGAAGTGTGAGAGGTGACAGCAAGGTAGCGGCAATGCCAGGGAGGAGGGGAAGAAGAGGTGGCCCAGGTGCTGGACCAGATGTTCAACAGAAGCCCCTGAAGTCATAGAATCACAGAATGTTTTGTGTTGAAGGGACCTTAAAGCTCCTCCAGCTCCAACCCCTGCCACGGGCAGGGACACCTTCCACTGGAGCACCTTGCTCCAAGCCCCTGTGTCCAACCTGGCCTTGAACACTGCCAGGGATGGGGCAGCCACAGCTTCTCTGGGCACCCTGTGCCAGCGCCTCAGCACCCTCACAGGGAAGAGCTTCTGCCTAAGAGCTCATCTCAGTCTCCCCTCTGGCAGGTTAAAGCCATTCCCCTTGGCCTGTCCCTGCAGGCCCTTGTCCCAAGCCCCTCTCCAGGTTTTCTGTTGACCCTTCCGAAGCAGACATCCATGCCTGGGACTAATGTTAATTGGCAAGAAATGACTTTTCCCAAAGCCCAGCCTGTGTTACCTGTGTCAGTGGGTGACCGATCTCCCTGCCTCTATCCCAACCCAGGAGCTGTTTCACTCCCTCCCCCGTGCCGTGAGGAGGGGGTCAGAGGGGCGCCGCCACCTCCGGGAGCTCCCCGCCAAGAGCCGGCCCTGGCGGCAGCATGGGGAGAACCGCAGTGCTCGCAGTCCTCCGAGCCCCCAGGGGGCGCGCTAGCGGCGCCTCGCTGTGTCGGCGCTGGGGCCCGGCGGCGGCCGGAAGCGGCTGCGTGCGGTGAAAGCATGGAGGCGGGGAGCTCGCGCCCTCTGAGGTAGGCTGGTGCCGGCCGTGCGAGGGCCGCGGCACGGGGAGGCCGCGGGGCGGGTGTCGCTGCTCTCGGCTTCCCGGCCCCTCACCGTGCCGCGCCTCTCGCCTCGCAGCGCGGCGCAGCTACGGGCGGCCGGCGGCCGGCAGGCCTCGAAGCGCGCGCAGGGCCAGAAGGACTTCATCCCCGACGGCTCGGCCGAGCAGGCGGAGAGGCTGCGCCTGTGCCAGGAGGAGCAGTGGCGGCTGCTCTCCGAGGAGCGGGTGGTGCGGCGGTGAGTCCCCGCGGCTGGGCGCGGAGCGCTGTGGAGCGCTGGGGCACAGCGGCTGTAGCAGCGCAGTGTTAACGGCAGGGAGGTGTCCGCAGTCAGGTCCCTTACCCATCCCTTCGTTCACCTGCTGGGGAGGAGGAGCCGGGGGAGCACACCCCGGCGGTTCCCTGGGGAGCAGGAACTTGCACCGGCACCGGGGGCCTCAGTGCGGGTGTTCAGACAGTCCCCTGGTTCTCTCAGGTGTGTGTGTTCTCCTGTAGCCTTTGTAGACAGCAGCCACTGTATTCCTGTGTGACCTGAGTTACACGGCATCTTGTAGATGAATGGTAGAATCCCAGACTGGTTTGGGTTGGAAAGGACCTTAAAGCTCATCCAGTCCCAACTGCCTGCCACGGGCAGGGACACCTTCCACTAGAGCAGCTTGCTCCAAGCCCCTGTGTCCAACCTGGCCTTGAGCACTGCCAGGGATGGGGCAGCCACAGCTTCTCTGGGCACCCTGTGCCAGCACCTCAGCACCCTCACAGGGAAGAGCTTCTGCCTAAGAGCTCATTTCATTCTCCCCGCTGGCAGGTTAAAGCCATTCCCCTTGGCCTGTCCCTACAGGCTCTTGTCCCAAGCCCCTCTCCAGGTTTCCTGCAGCCCCTTTAGGCACTGGAGCTGCTCTAAAGTCTCACCTTAAGAAGCTTTCTCTTCTCTAGGCTGACCCAGCCCAGCTCTCTCAGCCTGGCTCCAGAGCAGAGCTGTTCCAGCCCTCGAAGGATCTCTGTGGCCTCCTCTGGAATTGCTCCAACGGATGCTTATGTGTGGCCTTGTGCGGATTTGGCCTCCTCACAGTGTCCTTGGGTTATCAGTTTTAGTGGTTTTTAACAGCACTACCAGTCTCTGGAGTTTACAGTTTTTTGGGCGACTTTCACATGCTCCCTGTCAGTGCACACTCTTTGGCCAGTTGTTTTCTGGTCATGGTTTCTCTGTCTGCACTGTTAAGTAGCAGCAGAAACTATTCACATAAAATTACAGCCCTGGGGACTCTAGAATGGTGACCTCCCACAGACAGGCAGGTCTTCCTGTGTTATCTTCCACTGCTGTCAAAGTCAGATTTGTGGAAGTACATCTGTAAATGTGTGTCTTGGATCAGCAGTGGAGGCTCTAGAGATGGGGGGGGGGGGTGTGAGGTGTGTGTGACAGGGTAGGTTTATGTTTCCTTTCAGATGGGGAAACTGTGCTACTGACTAAAGATGTTCTGTTCTGGGGTCTGTTCTGGACCCTACAGGTCTTGCCTTCTGTTTCTTTAAGGCAGCTACTAAAAATGAATGTTTGCATTCTTGAAGAGTCACCCTTCACTATTCCATTTGCTGGTTTTTGGTTGGGTTTGTGGTTTGTTTTTTTTTCTTCCCTGTAGGGTCCTGTAGGTGGGATGCAGCAATTTGAGTGTCTTGGCAGCATCTGAACAGTTGTATAATCTGTCATGGTTTAGGCCACGCATCCCTAGCTGGCTGCTGTAGCCTATGGACAGGTGTCTGTGATGCTGACTGATGACACTTTTGGTCTTCAGTTGGTGATGACAAAATCTTCAGCTGGTGCTGCTAGATCCAGAGGATGCTGTCTTTCTAAGGCCTCCCCCTGTAAAAATGCCACCTGGAAGTCTGCTGCCTTTTGATACCTTCCTGATCTTGTTGGGTTGCTACAGCAGGAGTTGACGGTAAGACATGCCAATACTAACCTAATCTTTAACCTTCTCAGGGGGAATCTGGTAAAAGCAGAGTGGAAGCCAGAACAGGGCATCGTGGAGCTGCAGTCCCCTGCGGTGAGTGACCTACAAAGTGTACTTGGTGCCATAATCTGCTGCTGGCCTTTGCAGATTCCTTAATTTGCTGCTTGAAGTGGGGAAAAAACTGCTTGTCAGCAGGGACCAGCCACAGCCCATCGTGGATTTGTGCTTCTGTTCCAGGGGAAGTTCTGGCACACCATGGGGTTCACACAGCATGGCAAACAGTGCCTTCTGCCTGAGGAAGCTCTATACCTGCTGGAGTGTGTAAGTAGGATACCTGGGCATGGATGGGGCATTGTGTCCTTTTGAAATGACCGAGGAAGCTGTAGCAGCTTTAGAATCATAGAACAGTTTGGGTGGAAGGGACCTTCAAAGCAAATCTAGTCCAACCCCTTGCAATGAGCAGGGAC